GGTGGAGATATGCACATACGCAGATATACACAGATATATACAGATATGCACAGTCCATCAGCGGTCATGGGTGGGCCCTGAGCAGTATGACATCATACTGCTCAGAAAATCAAAACAGCTTGATAACTGAGACTGTTTAGGTTTTTTGGGGATTAAAAAAAAGAAGTGAATGGATCTTTATCATTGTAGGGTGGTTATGTTTACACACTGCTAACACACATTTATATGCAAACACCATGTAAAAGTGAATTTTGCATCCGCTGTCCCCTTTAAAATTAAAGTATTATAATCTTAATTAATCTGATGAAGGATTTCGAAAGTCTGACAGTAATCAGTGTTGAGTACTACTGGGTTAACCCTGCCTGGTTTACATGTTTGAAAATGATTAACAGTTAAAAACTTTAGAAATTTAGAAAAGTAATCAAAAAGTAACCAAATGTAATCAGTTACATTACTTTAATAAATAATTGAAAACTTACACTACTTATTACATTTTAAATAGAGTAACTTGTAATCTGTAACCTATTACATTTCAAAAGTAACCTTCCCAACACGGGCCTTTACATAAATTACTAAATTACATTGCAGTTCATCACATGGCGATGGAGAGAGTTCCTTTTTGCTGGAATCTCTGCTGTTACGCATATGCTGATCAGCAGACTCAGTGCCACAAATGCAAGACAGTCGCTGCTTGTATCTTGGCACACACTTTTAACGCTAATGTTCATCTTTTATATGATCACCTTACTCAACACCAACTATATAACATTAACAATGATCCGTTCCTAACAGAAAGTCCAAATGTACAGGAGCTTTCGCAGTTCGCCAAGCTTTTTAATTCCGGATACTGCATTGCTCCGTTCCCGAACCAGATCCGCAGTCCACTTTTCCTGAAACAGCCCTAAAGCGCATTCACTCCCTCCCAGCATAATAATAAACACTTCCACGGTTTTAAGTTTCTTACCTTTATCTCCTTTATCCATGTCGTGCTGTGTTTTGCAGGAACCTCTTGATCTCTTGTGGTTGTGGTTGCTGTTGCGAGATGCGTCAATGCTTCTGGGAAAGGGCAGAGACAGAGTGCTGAACCTCGCTGTAGTCTAGAAGCAGAGAGCAGCCGTTACACAGCGCTGTTGATTAATGAGTATGAGAGAGTTTGTATCCCGGACACACGGGGGGGGGGGTTGG